GTGCCTTTCAAGCATATCTAATTCTACTGTGCTATGATTCTAAAATGTTAAATTTATAAATAGTCAGCTTGAAATATTAACTGCAATCAGGGAACTATAATAACATCTTATCAATTTTTTTTCTAATTAGAATTTTAATAAATGAATATTATTAAATAATATCAAAAGATGCTGACCTAAAAGTTCTGAAGAAATAGAAGAATTTCTGTTCACTGGTGTGAGAACTGGCATGCAAATAATTTGTCTCACTTTGTCTGAACTGATTTCATTTGTTCTTTGAAACATTTCTGCTGGGAAATAAAGAAAGAATTTCTTTGGGAAAACAGGGGACGAGCATGTCCAAAAGAGGGCCACAGAGATGATCCAAGGTATGGAACACCTCTCCTATGAGGATGGGCTGAGAGAGCTGGGGCTGTTGTGGATTTTTTTTTCTGTTGCTGAGTGTGGTGGGTTGATCTTGGTTGATTGCCAGATGCCCACCAAATTGATCTCTCACTTACCCTCCTTGATAAGATGGGGCAAACACAAGATGAGAAAGTTCATCAGTCAAAATAGAGACAGGGAGATCAGTCACCAATTATTGTCATGGGGAAAACAGACTTGATTTGATAAAAGGTAATTTAATTTATTGCCAATTAACATATATTTGGATAGCTAGGAACAGACAAAACTTAATGCAATATCTTTCTTTTTACATAGTTCATTTCCACTCCTTCATTCCTGACTGATCTATCTCCTTCACTCAGTTCAGATTAGAACAGAGAGAGATAGTGGGATTGTGGTCTGCATATAACACTTCCTTCCTACAGTTCCCAATGCACAGTATAGGTCAATGGTCTGCCTGTTCGGAAAAGCAGTTTTTGGTCTCAGGTGGATTTTACTCATATATTTCTATCTCTATTTAGGGAGCCAAATTCACAGGCTAGATATTAACACTGCATTTCTTTAGGGAAACTATACACTGTTCTAATATGTGCATCACCCTCTTCAGTTGATATCACATGGTCATGCAGGAAGTGATTCAGTACATACATGATGTATACTCCACCACAATCTTCTTCAGATATTTCAATAAAAGAAGTTTTCTACAGTAGGGTAGTGTTATTTATAACTATGTATGAATTATATGCACTTCTGCGAGAAAATTCAGGTCAAAGAATCTGAAATTGGAACTTGAAATGACATTTAGCTTGTAAGAATTTCATTCAGTCCTTGAGAGCAGCCCCAAGAAAGGAAACGTCATATCAGAATAGTGCAGTTAAGGCCTCCCTGATTTCACTGTTAGCTATCTCTTGTATTTTCATGGGTTAATATAGCTCCAAGGCATATTCTTAGGGAATACTTGTGGATGGCCAGCTGGTCAGGAGCCAGAAATGTCCCCCCACAGCCCAGAAAGCCAATTGTATCCTGGGCTGCAACAAAAGCAGTGTGGCCAGAAGGTCAAGGGAGGTGATCCTGCCCTTCTGTTCTGCACTGTGATCCATTACCTTGAGTACTGCATCCAGTCGGGGAATCCCCAGTACAGAATAGACACGCACCTGTTGAAGCATGTCCTGAAGAGGGCCAGAGAGATGATCCAAGAGATGGAACACCTCTCTTATGAGAGGGCTGGGGCTGTTCATCCTGGAGAAGAGAAGGCTATGAGATGACCTAATAGTGGCCTTTTATTATCTAAAGAAGGGCTATAAGAAAGAAGTGGATAGTATCTTTATCAAGATCTACTGTAATAGGACAAGCGTGTTAAGATTTAACCTGATAGATAGCGAATCACCACACACAGTCATTTGCTCACTCCCCTTCCCCTCCCAGTGGGATGGGGGAGAGAACTGGGGAAAAAATCGCAGAATCACAGAAACACAGAAACACCAAGGTTGGAAAAGCCTTCAAGATCATCCAATCCAACCATCCACCTATCACCAATAGTTCTTACTGAACCATATCCCTCAACACAAATCCCAAACATTCCTTGAATACCTCCAGGGTTGGTGACTTCATCACCTCCCTAGGCAGCCCATTCCATTGCCTGATCACTCTTTCAGAGAAGCAGTGTTTCCTAATGTCCAGCCTGGATCTCCCTTGGCACAGCTTGAAGATATTCCCTCTAGTCCTATCACCGGTTACACAAGAGAAGAGGCCTACCCAAAGCTCACTACAACCTCCCTTCAGGTAGTTATGGAGAGCTGTAGAGAGGTCTCCCCCGAGCCTCCCCTTCTCCAGACTGAACAATCCCAAGTCCTTCAGCTGCTCCTCATAAGGTCTGTGTTCTAGACCCTTCACCCACACTGGGGCCTCAATGTCTTTCTTGCAGCGAGGGGCCCAAAACTGGACACAGTACTGGTGAGGTGCGACCTCACCAGTGCTGAGTACAGGGGGACAATCACTGCCCTGTTCCTGCTGGCAACACCACTTCTGATGCAAGCCAGGATGCCATTGGCCTTCTGGGTCACCTGGGCACACTATTGACTCGTGTTCAGCTGAGCATCAATCAATACCCTCAGGTCCGTTTTCTCTATGCAGTCTTCCAGCCACTCTGCCCCAAGCCTGTAGTGTTGCCTGGAGTTGTCGTGACCAAAGTGCAGGACCTGGCATTTGGCCTTGTTGAAACTCATCCATTGGCTTCAGCCCAGCTATCCAGCCTGTTCAGGGCCTCTGTAGGGCCTTGTTACCCCCAGGCAGATCCACACTTCCAGCCAACTTGGTGTCATCCGCAAACTTACTGAGGGTGCACTCGATGCCCTCATCAAGGTCATCAATAAAGATATTGAAGATGACAGGTCCCAGCACTGGCCCCTAAAGAACACCGCTTGTGACAGGTTGCCATCTGGATTTAGCTCCATTCACTACCACTCTCTGGGCCCAGCCTTCCAGCCAATTCCTTATCCAGCCAAGAGCGTACCTGTCCAAGCCATGGACTGCCAGCTTCTGCAGGAGAATACTGTGGGAGACAGTGTCTTTACTGAAGTCTAGGTAGACTACACCAACAGCCTTTCCCTTATCTACCAGACAGGTCACTAGATCATAGAAGGAGATCAGGTTGGTCAAGCAGGCCTGCCTTTCGTGAACCCATGCTGGCTAGGCCTGATCCCCTGATTGTCCTGCATATGCTGCGTGATTTCCATCAAGACAATCCGCTCCATGACCTTTTCCGGCACCAGGGTAGGCTGACAGACCTGTAGTTCCCCGAGTCCTCCTTACAACCCTTCTTGTAGATAGGAGTCACGTTGGCAAGCCTCCAGCCTTGCGTGCTTCTCAAGGAGTGCTGATGGATAATGGCAAGCAGCTTGGCTATCACCTCTGACAGTTCCCTCAGCACTCTCAGGTAAATCTTATCCAGCCCCATTGATTTATGACAGTCCAGCTGGAGTAGTATGTCTCTGACTGTGTCCTCCTGCATCGTGGGGGGGTTAGTCTGCACCCCAGCAGAGACTACCAGGTCAGTGAGTGGAGTACCCTGAGGATAACTGGTCTGACCTTTAAAGACAGACGTAAAGAAGGCATTCAGAACCTTTGCCTTTTCCTTATCCTCAGAAGTCATGTTCACAGCAACATCCAGTAAATAATGGAGATTCTCCTTAGTTCTCCTCTTACTGTTGATGTATTTGTAAAAGAATTCCTTGTTCCTTTTTACTCCAGCGACCAGGTTGAGTTCAAGCTGGGCTTTTGCCTTTCTGATTTTCTCTCTATACATCTTAACAACTTCTCTGTACTCTTTCTGAGTCGCCCATCCCTTCTTCCACAGGAGGTAGATTCTCTTTTTCTCATGGAGCCTCAAGAATAGCTCCCTATTCATCCATGCTGGTCTTCTTCCCTGCAGGCTCATTTTGCAGCTCAGGGGGACAGCCAGCTCTTGCGCATTTAAGACTTCCTTCTTGAAGAGCGACCAGCCATCTTGGACCCCTTTACTCTCTAAGACTGAAATCCAGGGGATTCCCCTTACTTCTGAACAACTCAAAGTCCACCCCACCCTCCAGAAGTCCAAGGTAGCAGTTTTGCTGCTTCCCCTCCTGGCTCCACCAAGAATTGAGAACTCTATCATTTTATGGTCACAAACAATCAAAGTAGAACTCGTGGGTTGAGATAAAGCTATTTAGTAAGATAGAGAAAAGGGAAAGGATACTAGTTATATTTTTTACACAGACACACACACACACACGTATATGAATATATGACTTTACGTAACAAGTGATGCCCAATCAATTGCTTACCACCTTCCAACCAATGCCCTACTAGTCCCTGAGAAGCAGAACAGAGCCAGAGGAACTCCTGCCCTTTTCAAAACTTCTTCCACATGATTTCATATGATATGAAATATCCCTTTGGTCTTTTTAAGTCTAAGTTCTGTTCTAATTCTGTTCTCTTTCAGCTAATTGGGCCCTTTGCTGCAAATGGCCTTGGCTCTGTACAACACTGCTTTACACCAAATAGAACCTAAAAGCGTCATACCAGAAACTCCAAAGAAAACAATTCCATCCCAGATGAAACTAAGACAGAGGGGGACATGGTTTCAAACTAAAAGAGAGGTGAGTTAAATTGGATGTAAGGAAAACATTTTTTTACAGCAAGGGTAGTGAAGCACTGGAACAGGTAGCCCAGAGATGTAGTAGATTTCCCCACCCCTGGAGACATTCAAGGCCATGCTGGACTGGGCTCTGGTCTACATGATCTAGCAGTAGATGTCCCTGTTCACTGCAAGGGAGTTGGACTAGACATTCTTTAAGGGTCCATTCCTACTCAAACAAATCTATGAATCTATAATGATCAAATACAAAATCTTTTAACTTAAAGCCACTACAGCTTGTTCTATTGCTATATGCCCTTTTAAAATATTCCTCAGTCTTTCCTGTACTCCTGTTTAAATACTGGAAAGCTATTATAAGGTCTTCCAGAGCCTTCTCCAGGCTCATAAAAACCATCTATCTCAGTCTGTCTTCTAAAGAATGGTGTTCCAGCCCTCTGACCATCTTCATGGCCTTTCTCTGCTCTCCTTCCAACAGGTCCATGCCCTTCTTGTGCTGGGAACCCAGAACTATACATGGAGTCACAGGAGAATGGAATCGCTTTGGATAGCATTTCACCCCTCCTGCATATCTACTCCATCACATAGGTTGTTGATATCTGCATATTTACTGAGTGTGCACTTGTCACAGTTTTGTGTTTTTGGTTTTCAGTATTCCACATCATAACATCATGTAGTGCAATGGGAGTTAAAGTGTTAATGCTCCAATTCCAGGTACCTATTCACCTGTACATTTATGGAAGTCTTGGGATCTGTCCCTTCCGGGTGAGACGGTCTCTTACTGCCTTGCAGTGGATGCTGGAGGGTGCTTTCCAAGCTGTTCCAAGCTCTTCAGGTTTGACTTGGTCTCAGGAGCTCTCTCTCCTATTTTATTTGATTTATTAGTCTCAAATTCAACTAGATTGTATTATATTGTGTTATCTTGCATTCCAATATCATAGTTAGTAAAATAAGGTTTCCTCCATAGATTGTTGCCACTGTTTTTTTTTCCTTTCTTGAGCCAAGCTCCCATCTTTCTAACCCTTTTCCCTTTCCTTTCCCGTTTTGTGGTACCAGGGGAGGCCCAGGTGCCTTCTGCCCAGCTTCCATGGGCATAGATTGATTTAATTATTCTGTGACAGCACTCAACCCCACTGTCTGTCACCAACAAAAATGTTGAATAGTGTCAGTACCAATACATACCACCAAGAATCTCCATCACTGCTGACCTCCACCTGGACATAAACACTTTGACTACTACTCTTTGAGTGTGAATACTGAATCAATTCCTTACTCACCAAGTGATCTGTCCATCAAATTCATGTCTCTTCAATGTAGAGACAAGAATGTGATGCAAGATATTGTCAAATGCTTTACACAAGTCTAGTGAGATAACATCAGTTCTTCTAATGTTAGACTGTAAAAATTGTTATTGAAGTAACAATGTTTTGCTACTTGTTTTAAAACAGATATTCAAAAAGCAACAAAAGAAAAACAAGATTTGTGTCTTTGCAGTTATGTGCCACCTCATCTGTGGTACAGAACATTTGTTAACAAACAGTCCTTTTCACTGTGTACTCAACAGAGTAGTGTGTATGTGTAATCAGCTGTACAAAGCAATGAGAAGTGAATTCTTAAATAGTGAACTTTTGAGATATGTCTGGAACGTGACATGAAAATAGATAATGAAGTACGCAAACATGCTTTCTTGCATACACATGGCTCGTTCCACCTGGATAACAGAGTTAACATCACAGTTGGCCTTATTAATGCATTTTCTGAGCACTGATGGGCTCAAGTTAATGCTTGGCATAAACTGGATGAGCTTTAGATGTATTTTAATTTGCATTGCCAAGCACTGCCTTTCAAACTGCTAATCTTAAAGCCAGGACTGTTAGAGTAGATTGTGAAATGTCCTTTTCCAAGTGCTGTAACCTGTTTGAGTTGCTAAGGGGAGACATTGCCTTGAAGAAATGCTAGAGGGGTGTGTAACATTATAAATATTACCTAGACATAATGCAACAATGATCCAAATCTGTTAGCAATACTTCAGTTTTTTTCAGTAGTCTGGTAAAAGAAAACAAATATACGAACCAATATTTTATTGAGGCAAACCTTGATTTACATTCTCAGTGTATTCATTAGAGTATTCACATATATGAAGAATACTAAAAATGCATTGTATGTATATATATATACAGTTAGTATAATCATGCAGAAATCCTAGTTATTTTCTGTTTGAAATAGTATATACATGCAAACAGCATGTATTAGTACCCTACTAATTTGTATCCTCTGAACACTGGATTCATATATATAGTCCCATTCTTTTATCATGAAATATATGTGTAAAGATCTTTTTGAGACAGTTTACAACAATGATACTTGTTTGAGAGTAGGCACTTCATGTATGTCTTCAGATTTTATGTTTTAATCCTAATTGCTGTAAAGAACAGTAAGATTTATAATCATCAATTACATGAATATGGAAAATCTGTTAACACTGGCTTAGATCTATTTGATATAAACAAGAATCCCACATTTTCTTAAAGAAAACAGTGTTTTCTAATAATTATATATGTTTCTCTCATTTAACTACCTGCTTCAAAGTGGGGAATGATATAGTATGATCTTTAGGCTGTACTAATTTCATGTTTCACCAATTTTGTTCTGTGGAGATTTCTCTTATTCTATTTGCTCCCTGCACTTTACTTTGTTCTTTTTTCACAACTAAGGACTTTCATAGAATCTAGCGTCTCTCACCTCTGCATCATCATTCTCAGTACAAGCCACTGCTCTTTTATTGCTAATGCTTTCTCTTACCTTGTCCTTGGTACAACCTCTCTTGTTTGATCTTTATAACTGAAGTTTACAGAGATAGTAAAATGTAATGGATGTATTCTATCAGTCTTGTAAATAATTTTAGTTTTAATTTAGGACAATGAGGAATAAAGGCATTTATTTGGCTATCAATTCAAACTCACTACTAATTGTTGATTAAACTGTCTTTTCAAATGCTTTGTGCAAACTGTCCATGAACAGCTTTATAGGTGAGTATGGTTCTCCCAGACCCAATAGAAGGTGTGTCTGCTTTCAAACCTCTGTTTTCATTCTGATTATTCATCTAGTGTCTGTTAGTGTAGTCGTTCTTTTTTTAGTCTTGAGAAGAAGCTCTCCTGTTTATATGACCAAAAATGATAAAAGCCTGTGGCACTGGATATCTATGTGTGATTGATATCCCTTTTTTGACACCTAGTAAGTATGTAATTATTTTCAGAAGCTTTTCATAAGGTGTTTAACTCATAGACTGATGTTTACGGAAATTATTTGGGACGATGGTGAGTGCATTTGCTCTTACATAGTCCAGATCTTCTGTCATACACTGAATATCCTAGCAGTCAGATTGTCTTCATACTGTTTATGTAATTCGACTTGCAGTTGTTAGTTGTTTCTTCAAAAAAAAAAGTTCATCTAAGTAGATGACCGAATTCAGATTGTTGTCCATCTTGCTGGGCTATGTTACTAAAAGCAAGTAAGGGGGAAACAAGAATTTTGGCCTTGGGCTAACAAGAATCTGTGCTTGTATAATTAAAGACCTAGGAGACTAAAGAATTAATTAAAATAATTAGAACTGTATATGCATCTCTTGCTCTCTTGTTCTGCCTGTATATAGAAAATTTTTGTTTTCCTATAATTAACTAATATCAAATGATTTTTTTATTAGCTTGGAATAGAAATCACTTGACCAGGACTGATGAACAACAGGGAATGACACAGAAGTTTTGGCTTTTCTAGAAGAATCAAAGCAGCAGAACTATGAAAACTGAAATCTCTGACACTGAAAAACAATAAAACTAAGGATTCATAAAGTGGTGAAAATAAGACACTAGTGAATTTAGCCAAAATGCAGAAAAGGAATAAGCTTAAGAAACCTGAAATATGATGAAGATAATGAAAATAAGAAGGGAAATAATTATTTTGAGAACTGGAAAAATAGGAGGTTAGAAACAAAATACAGAAATATACCTCTGTATCAATATTTTGTCTAAGAATAAGTATTCTGCAGAGTCTGAGTCTGTTTTTTGATCAGCTTTCTGCACTTACATTTTAGCAACGATGCAAGTATATTCAGAATTCATAAAATCTGCATCTGTTATGCTTTATACTCTTCTATTTTATTTGTTTAAGAGTCTATTTTGTGTTAAACTCAAGTTATTTTCAAAGGCTTTACTTTTTTTTTTTCTTTGAGTTCTTTCACTTCTCTTTCTTTTTAGCTCTTCAAAGTTTAACTTCTATTGTTGAGATATACATAGCCTTATTATGTAATGATTATAGTTCATTAAAGGAATAAAAAGAACATTAAAATACTTCTTTTAAAATCAGAGGATATCAAACTGAAGGAAATGTCAACCTGAGGCTGTATTTTTCTTCCTTAGACAGACAGACATGTAAATTGCATCCAGATTCAATGGCAGGGAAATAAGTGTTAGAAAATGTTTCAGTGCATTATAAAATACTAAAGATAAGTTTAAAAAATGCACAGTGGAGATGGAGATGCCTAGATCTCTCTTCTTTGTAGATGGAATGTGAAGATTAATGGAGTATATGACTTATTTGCAGATGGACAATTTTAGGCTAAAATTATCCATACATACTATCAAAATGTAAGTGATTTCAGAGCCTTTTCATGCTTTCACCTCCCTGTATCATATATCCATTATCAATGGCACACATGCCATTGTTGTGTGGCCGCATTAACAAATACGCTGATTATACAGATACAAACAGGTCCTTCTGCCCCATCTCTCCCTCACCAGGCTTCTATTTGTGTTTACCAACCCAAATGATATGTGCAGGACGTAGACAGCTTCTATGGATAAAATAACTGAATTTCAGAAAGTGGAAATCAGGTTGTATGAACCATATCCTTCATATTACACAACCCCTATTTTTACAGTGAAAACAATGTATTACTGTATCTCATAGGCATTTTATTATTAAAATAGTCAAATAGTTAATCAAAACATATCACAGTGAGAAGAAATAAAAATCATCAAAATCTCTACAACTCTTAACAGAATAAAAGTGAACTTTAGAGCCATAGTGTTCATATTCATGTTCTTTGGAACCAGAGAATAGGTGGGATGCAGAGCTCCCTATTCTCTCCACCTGTGCACAAACTGTGGAGTGCTTGATCCTTCTTTTTTCCTTCAGGAATCAACTGAAACTTGCTTTTCTCCTTCTGTTCTGTGCTTCCAGTCTTCTTTCCTGTGAAAATTAAGATCTGAGATCTAAATTTTTAAATAACTTATTGCAGAGAATTCATGAACTTTTTAATGTGGACAAGATACTCATTCTTGTTTTGGTTTGTTGTGACTTGCTGTGTGGTCTCTAAGCAGTAACTTCACCTTTCTTTGTCTCTATTTCTCCTATTACCCCTAGTTTCCTGTCTTGAGAATTTATTAGAATTTAAAGTTTTTGGAAGACTCTATGTTACACTTTCACAGCATGCACAATGAAACCAAAGTAATATAAATAATAATTATAATGAGTCCCATTTTAACTCTGCCCTCAGCTGACAAATGAAATAAAATTCCTAATTTTCTGTAATTTCAGAAAAATTACTTGTTATTAATATTCTTGTGAACACAATAGAAGGAACTGGAGATTGATCAGGCTCATGTCTTCATTCTATAAACTTTTTGGCTAGATTTCATGAAATCAACTCACAGTTGAGCTGGAATCCAACCAATCAACAGAAAAGACAGACATTTAATCAGGCTTCTCTACAATGGAACACATCCATTTGATAAATGAACTAATTAAGCAAATGAATAAGTATAACCTACCACTGTGAGTGACATTTATAACTATGAAAAAGCTTCAGTTCTGCATTAACAGTTCTAGAAAACCAAAGAAATTGATGGAAAAATGCAAGTTCAATTGACGAAGCACATTTATGTAAACTGAGTTTTACTAGGGCTAGTAATCCAGTATACTGTATGCTGTGTGTGTATAAAGATGACAAGAAAGAGAGAAGACTGAAATAATGTTATTTCACTTCTGAGATTTTCTTAGCATTAGCCATTTCACAGACAGCAGAATATAACAATGGCTCATGCTCTGTCTGACTGTCCTGTTAAAGCAAGTGGAATACCACAACACCTCATCTTCCCTTGAATGTACCAAGTCCATGTTTAATTTGTTTGGCACAAAAGCTTGCATGACACAGAGAAGTTGAGAAGAACTCTGATTCACTTAAACATAGCTTTATAGTCTCACCTATAATTTTTCTAATTGATCTATATAAACATTTCTAGGAATTATCTGACAGCTTTAGCAGCAATGGAAGTCCTCTAGTTGATTTCAGGGGGAAAAATAATGGTCTCTGAGACTGGTTGACAGTCTGCTGCTGTCAGTCACACTTGGTGCACTAGGGGGAGGTAGACCTTTTAATTCCCTGTGTGGTAACCAGGAACAACACTAATTGCTCCAGAGGTTCAAACAAGTCACAAATTACCTAAAATTCATCAGAATTACAATGGAAAGTTGCTCAGCAAAAGCTGCAATGTTATTATGCTTATGTAAACTCATTAGAATAACAAAAGAAAGCAGCTTGGAAAAACTTTAATGATATAACCCTTACATGCAGAAACAGGATCAGATCAAGGCTTGGAATGATATTATCCAGAAATCAAGTTGAACAGCATTTTGCCAAAAGTGAAGTCTGAGATAGAGAAAGAAAGATGTGAAAAGAGAAACAAAAAGGAAAGGTATCCTCACTCCTGGATCCATCCGGAAGAAAATTCATAGGGAGAGAAAGAAGCGTGAAAAAGAGAAAAAGAAAAGATATCAGTATTCTTGGCTCCAGCAATATTCTGTGCTTATAGTTGGATTCTCCAGTGGCAGTCACACATATGGTTCCCTAGGTTTGTGCCTTTTATATTCTGGTTCACACATACTGTGTCCATTTTTTAGGATCTTCTGGATGTGAGTGAGGGGCTACTCCTGTGCTTTCCTCCTCCTTCACTGTGAGTCTGTCCTCCAGTGGTGCTAACTGGCCTTGGACACAACACTTCAGTCTCTCACAGGATCCACTATAGATAACCATAACATCTACTTTTTCTGCAGAGTGTTGGAGATGTTAACGCAGCTCAGTTTCTTACAGATGTCTCCCATGTAGAGCCCTTGAAACAGTGGATTTCTTTAAAACTGTGTTTGGATGTTATGTACAATGCAATTTAGTGGTGAATGTTTTGACAAGAGCCATCAGTGAGGTAACCGAAATCATAAAAGGAGATGAGTTTGTTTTCAGATCTGAATAATTTTATTTCTGTCATTGTGAAACAAATAGTATTTCTGCTCGTGGCTGTCTAATCTGCATGTATGTGTGCAATTCAGGGTGGTTTTCATTTCAGTGTTACTTAGAGAAGTGCTTCTTCTTTTCCCATTTTAATTACTACCTTATTCTGTTTTTTTTTTTTCTTTAATGCAGTATCCATATTAAGTTGTACGACAATACCTGCTCCCTTGACCTGACTTTTTTTTTTAATCCTGAGATTAAGGGTACCAGAAATTCATCGACCAGCAGAAATCCAGTTAGTGATCTGTAATCTGAACTTGTTAAAAATTACTATCAAATAGAATATTGACCTAGAAAGAACAAACAATAAAAATTGCATAAATTATTTATTTTTCACATTTCTAGGTATTTACGAAATCTTTTTCAAATAACAGTTTTGTTCATTACACACTGTGTTTATTTCAATAAATGTGCAATGAGATACCGAGACCTTCATACAGTGTGAAGGCAAATACAGTGAATAGTGTTCTAAGCATGCTTGTTTCCACAGCCTGTGATCAAAATGAGTGCTCCTGAGGGTAGGAATTGATTTGTCTGAGCTTGTGAGGAGACACTGATAAATCTAGTTTGAAAGTGAAATGTTGCTGTTTTTTGTGCCACATTCAAGCAGAAGGTTTACCGTAGCTGGGTTTCATAATAGCACAATTACAATACAACACTACAGTACTACAGCTAAAAAAAATGTAATTGTCCCAAATTAGCATGGTTTTGACATACAAATTGCTCTCCTATATGCTTTTTTTGGAATACTCTTACTTTACTGGGATTATTTCCATTAGCCTTACTCATCAGAAAACTGTATTATATACTTCAAATCCACACACATCCATACTTCAGAGGAAACACCAAGCAGCAGGAGGTGAGAAATGAGAAAAAATAAGAAACTTTGGAGTCTGCGAAAATGAGTTACAGCAATCAGTAACAAAAAGACGGTAGAGATCAGTTTGTTCCTCCGGAACAAAGACTATGATTGCACGGATTACATTCATTGTTAAGATTCCTTTTATGATATGTCAAAACTTTTACCACTGACCTTATTGTAAAGTATTTGTAGAATGGTAACCTGTGGAAACAATGGCAGCGAGAGGAGCTTGTTGTATGGCTGAAAAATACCATTTTAAATTAGGTTAAATTGACTGTAAAGGTGTTTTATGCATTATTAGCCACACCAAATGCATGAATATGTGGAATGAAAAACAGTTCTTTTAAAGTCACTTATTATGTACAGAATAATAATATATTTCTGTGATAACTCTGCAGAATGTCTTGGAAAATAGTCACGAGTTCATAAATGCAAAAGTATAATAAACAATTCTTAAATACATCAGTTTGGTGAAGCCTTAAAAATCTCTGATACAGTTACAAGTTTTTCAGACAAACTGCATACTATTACATTACATATCTTATATATCTTGCAGACTGTTTAGCAGCTGTTTAATGTGGAAATCTTTAACTTACGATACAATACCATACATACGATGTAGTGCTGACTACATCACTATTCATACTGTGATGTGTATAAACAGATGAAAGTTTACATTTGATTCCTTATAAGAGTTTGATTGTAATGCATTTGTTAGGATTAAAACAGTAAGCACATTTGTGATACTTATATGAATACTTATAATCTTTCCTTAGTCTTTAATTTTTTTGTTCTATTATTTTTTTTTAACGTGCCAATCCCTT